TGGCAGAAATGTACAGTAAAAATCAAGCAGTTAGTTAATGTCATGTAATCAAACAGACTGTGAACACCATTAACAGCAATGATTATATGTTGCGATCAAACTTATAGCAAAATTTGGTAGTTTTGTATGTTGTCTGAGGGTTGGCATCATCTGAGGTCTTCGTGTTCCTCAATAGCTAATTAAATGGCAAATTCGGCAGCCAAAACCCCACCATCTGGAGAATTTAGCGAGAAGAATTCGTTCCCCTCATGGACTTCACCTCAGATTCATTCAAGTTTGTGAACTCGAACACATGAATTCGCCACATTGATCATAAGCTGCCTGATTTGGAAGTGACTGAGTTAGCATTGATTCTCTCATCGCTGCATTATTGACATGGAATCCATGAGTTATTCTAATGGGACTGACTCAAGAGCAAGTTCAGATGGGGTCTGCATTCCCCGCATCAAGAAGGATATCAAGAGATCAAGAATCCACGTCACAGCTGGCTATGTTTCATTCTCCATTCATCTCTGAGTGTCTTCACAAAGCTAAGTGAAGTTCATTTTAATGCTCTCAGTTTATTGGCAACATGCTTGTTGCTAAAGGCTGATTTATATTGCTGCGTCAGACCTACGCTGTAGGCTACGCGTTGGTTTTCATTTATACTTCTGCGTCGTTGTCCTCGTCGATGTGCAATTACACATGCAGACCGCTAGTATGCAGTGTCCACGGGCATGTTGATGGTGTAACCCACAGTATCAAGGCAAGAGCCGAAGAAGAAGCTGCAGCAGTGACGGCGGCAAATAGAAAGCGACTTCTTTTGCAGCTTGAGTTGTTAAATATCGAAGAACAGATAATTTATTTAAAACTAAAAAACAGGAGACGACAACAGAACAGGAGAAGATGGTGTGATTATTATAATTTTTTTTGACCTGAAAGGGAGGGGTTGTAGCAGACCAACCACAGCGGTTGTAGTCCGTGTAGAATTGACACGTTGTTACATTTCTGGAGAGGTGCACGTCAGGCTGCGCCGTAGGCGTAGTTTCTACGCAGAAGTATAAATCAGCCTATCCATGGCTATCCATGTTGCTTAGGCTTATTTAGTCGTTTACAGTAAAATGCTTGTGCTAGGCTTATGCGATTATGTTGATCATGTAGTTTTGTAAATTTTTATCTAAAATGAGAGCACTGTATGTAAAGTTAATTTGAAAGAGCATCTGCATTTTTGTTTATTTCACCTGGCATATTCCCACTATGACCACTGGCAGCAGAGGATCACTCATGGTCGCATTTACTGTTTCCACTCTGTAATGTAGCCCTTTTCAAGTGTTTTGCTTCTGGATTTATATTTAGAGATAATAAAATCACTATTATAACATTTAAAAATCACTTTTTTTTGTCAAAGTTGTTTTTTACTGAAGTACAAAAAAAAAACTCACCGAGAATAGGTGTAAATCAAACCAAACGCCCATTCACAAACATATTGTGACCCTTTTTTTTTTAGCTATCCAGCTTATTTTTCCCGTAAGTGTGGGCACGGCCATTTATACATTTTATGGGTCTGGCTTCTGGTGTCATTTGTACTAGCTGTACAAAACAGCTCGTTTTGCTGCTTGATATGGCAAATTGGTGTGTCTTACCATATTATTTGAATATGAACACACTGGTTTGTAGTGCAAACCGTTATACCATTTACTGCACTTTGTTATTCTTCTTGTTGTTTCCCTACAGCGGCTAATGAACCAGAAGTCTCGCACATTCACAGAAAACAGCTTACTTCCGCGTTGAAAAATAAGGTGGAATGAGATACTAAGAAATGAACGGATATTAACGTTAATACCCTCTTAGGCAACGTTAAATATTGAATGATTTCAATTAAAATTAATAATAATAATAATAATAGGGTAAGCTTAACCAATCTGTTAGTTGACTTGGATATTGCTGTCCTCATTTTAATGCATTGTTTTTCTTTTCCCCTTTGTCTTTTGTTTTCTGTCTGTGGCAGTAATGTGTCGAAGGGTGAGCGGTTGATATACTCAGTTTATAATAAATAAATTTTTGAACTTATTAAAATGGTAAACAACCATTAAATAAAAATGTTTCATTACATTATTTTAACAACTAAACTTTTGATTATTTATAACATTTTATTAAAGATTTTCAAAGAATAATTTCGGCAAAATGGTACTACCCTATGTGCAGCGCCCCTATGCACTGCATACAGTATACTGCATACCCCATTTTTCTGCCACTGATCTGTTTATGCTTCACTCTTGATCATTATATGAACATCAGAATAAAAGCACCTGTTGATTGTGTCTCATCAGCTCCTGTGATTCTGGATCCAAATACGGCTCATCCAGATCTCGTCCTGTCTGACGATCTGACCAGTCTGAGATGGAGTGAGTACAGTCAACCACTTCCTGATAATCCAGAGAGATTTGACATCTATCGCTGTGTTCTGGGTTCAGAGGGTTTTAACTCAGGAACACACTGCTGGGATGTGGAGGTTAAAGAGAGTTCATCCTGGGGTCTGGGAGTAACTACAGCATCAAACCTGAGGAAGGGAGAGGATTTCTTTAACACTGATGTCTGCGGTGTGCAGTACAGACTGTATAAATGGTCTGGTTTTACTGTTAAACAGAAGCTTGAGCGTGTGAGAGTTCGTCTGGACTATGACAGAGGAACTGTGTTATTCTCTGATCCTGTAACTAACACACATCTACACACATACACAGCCACCTTCACTGACACTGTCTTCCCATTCTTTCATAGTTATTCTCATGTGAGGATGTTACTGTTCAATAGTTAATAGTCTTAACGTTATACCTGTAGGTCTGGATCTTCCTGCTTTCATCATGTTTCCAATATTTAATCCATATCACATGAGTAGAGTGCTGTTGATCTGAATATCAGTAAAGCTGTGATTGGGCTGCAGCTGATCACATGACTGATATCAGCATTACAGACACACTGACATATTGCTTTCATACAACAGTTCAGATGGTTAAAATCAAGTAAATTAAATTCAGACACCTATGTTTAAATATGTTATTTTTGTTTCAAATTAAGGCAAAGTGGGATTAAGCATTGAAAATTAGAAAAAAAAAACATAAAAGTTTATATTCTTTGATTATTATATGCATTGCAGTTGTTTGGTTAATATTTTTTAGTATGCTGCTAGGTGCAGTTTAGGTGAGTGACATTTTCTATTATTTTAACGTTTGTTTCACTCTCAAGTTGTTTCAAATGTCCCTCTGTTTCCGACCAGACTGAATATGAATATGATTCATTGGGGTGCAAAACAGTTTTAAAGCATGTTTTGTACTTTAGAAGTCAATGGTTCTGTGAAACTTCAAATGCACCAGCAAACATGGCACAATAAATAAACATGAAAATAAAGTGTATTGAGTCTTTTTATAATCAATATTTGTGTTCTTCAATGTGCTTTTGAGTGCATTTTGTTTCATTAACTGATGTTTAGTTAAGTTTACTGGGTGGAGACGTGCAGATATCGCGTTTGGTCTGTGCCTGCGCTTGCTTGGCCATTTGTTGTGGAGAAAATAAGGAAAATGTGTTCAAGCGCCAGCAGAAAACAGTGTAAAGAAATAGTCTTTGAGAGAAGCAGTCTTTATCAGCGGAAGTTAAAAGCAGCTCGTAAGTGTATTTACTTGTCTCATTAGTGTTTAGTGCAGTTGTCGTTGCTAGGAAACGCTTGTTTTGTTTACTGTGTGGAGACGTGCTGATATCGCGTTTGGTCTCGTTCTGTATCGCGTATCTTGTCAGTGTCTGCGCTTGCTTGGCCATTTGTTGTGGAGAAAATAAGGAAAGTGTGTCCAGCTGAATTAATTTAGTATTTTGTTAGGCGGGTATAAAAAAGCTTAGTTTACCGCGACAGCCGTCGCGTGAAGGCCTCCTCGTGTGAAGACCGAAGAGTGTAAAGACCATCGACTCTACCGTGCGACTTTTTTGGTGTTTGGCTTAGTGTTATGTTAGAATCATTATTATACTCTTATACCTTTTTGTTCTTTAATATTTTGAATTGTTTTTATCTTTATTTTTTGTTTTTCATTTAAATGTTACGTTTTGAGATTTTGTTGTATGCATTTGTCATTTTTATTTAATTTCTTTATTTAAAGTGTGTGTATAAGTAGTATTTATAAAGTTTTAGCTTTTAGTTTTGGATCTGTTTTTAGTTGTTTTAATACTACAATTGATTGCTTCTGTTGTCCTCATTTGTAAGTCGCTTTGGATAAAAGCGTCTGCTAAATGACTAAATAAAAAAATAAATTTTCCTGTCTGACCTGCTGCACAACAGAATGTACCAAAAGAAGATCAGAAACTGATCCACCCTCTTAAAACACTCTTCTGTCTGGAGGACAAACAGCCGGTGTGTTTAGTGTGCAGAGATTCACAGAAACACGTCAATCACACATTCAGACCCATCGGTGAAGTTGTTCCAACTTATAAGGTAAGACAAATGTCTCTTGTATCATATGTAAAAAATTTAAAATAAACACATCACCACATTTATGCACTCAGCATTTCTGTCATTTTGCTCAACTTCATAACACATACAGACAGTATATGATCATATCACTGTATTCTCATAGCAGCTGGTGTTTTGTTCATTTTTATTTTGCTTATTTCTAAGAGGAGCTCAATACTGCACTGAAGTCCTTACAGGAGAAACTTCAACACAAAGAAAACATGAAAAGAGAGTTTGAGAAAACAATTCAACACATCAAGGTGAGGAAACAAAAATCAAGAGTCAAATACATTTTCATCACGGGTATAGGATCTATTATACAATCTTTGGATCACTATACACAATTACGATTTTTTTTTACATTTAAAGTAATGTATTGCAGTATTTCCACTTGAGCTCAGTTCGGCATGCCACAATTAGAAAACATTCTTGGCCCAGGATTCTCATATTGTAGCTAAACACTTGCGTTACCCTGGCAATGACAGACAGATTTGTATTACAAGCTCTGTTAACAGCCCCACAGTGGAAAATGAAACCAGGGCCCAGTTGCATGAACTAGTTTGACTGACTAGCAGTTAGCCAAAGGGTAATCAGTCTTACTTTTCGGATTCAAATTAGAATAATTTACCTATTTGTAACTGAAAAGCTATGACCAGTCTTGAAGAAGAAAAAAAAATAGATATCTAACTTTTTAAGACTAGTCTAAGCAGTTTATGCAAACGGCCCCATATCGGTACCTACTGGGCCGTATCGCCACAAAATGGAACAGTTAAGCAAAGAGAATGGTTTGGCTCGAGGGTGGCAAAGCGGCTTAAGACAAGTATCCATTTAATGTGCATCTGTACATGTGTTGATTCAGATGACTGAAGTGAATGTGATTTGATTTCAGTCTCAAGCTGAGCACACAGAACGTCAGATTAAACAGCAGTTTGAGAAGCTTCATCAGTTTCTCAGAGATGAAGAAGAAGCTACAATCTCTGCACTGAGGGAGGAAGAGGAGCAGAAGAAGCAGATGATGGAGAAGAAGCTAGAAGAGATCAACAGTCTCATCTCAGCTCTTTCACACTCAATCAAAGACACGGAGGAGATGATGAAAGCCAGTGACGTCTGCTTTCTGAAGGTCTGATTTCAGATCATTGATTGATTGATTGATTGATTGATTGATTGAGTTGTTGATGATAAACTGTGTGTTTGTTCTGCAGGAGTTTCCAGTCTCAATGGAAAGGTGAGTGATCTGCTGCTGTCTCTGCTCTCTTTGCTTCTGATCCAAAGCCACTGCAGTTCTGATCCTGAATGTTTTTCCAGAGTCCAGATCTCATAGCCAGATCCACAGATGCCTTCTGGAGCGTCCAATATTTATACCAATATTTTTTTAATTGCCCGTTAAAGTTTTATATTTGAATATTACACAACACACTGATCCTTTAACAATGCATTGACGCACAAATGCAAATACTGCCCTAAGAAAATATTGATTTTATGAACTTTTTACTTGTACCGATATTTTAAATTAGCCTTTAAACTTAGCTTTATTGCATGGCAAAAAACAAACAAAAAAAACCTTACCTTACAAATGGATTGCCAGAACCCACTGATCTAATGGTGTTTATGCAATTTTATTTATTTAATTTTTTTTGCATGTGATGTAACTGTGACTTCCCACTTTTAATACTTTTTTATTGTAGTTTTTAGAACAAAGAACATACAAGGGCAATAACATTTAAAATAAATCAAAACAAATACAAAAAAATTTAATAGGAAAAGCAATAAGAAAATCACATGTCTGTAAACAAGTACAAATAATTACAAATTATTCAAAGAATAGATTTAAGGCTTTAAAGTAATTTACAGTTGTTGTTGTTGTTGTTGTTTATTTATTTATTTATTTTTTGCTTTGTTATTTTTTAACGTGTAGGCCTACAGGTAGTGACCTATTTCTATTTTAAAATGAGTAAAATTAGTTTTTTTCACTGCCCATTTACATTTGTGAATAAAGAATTTTCCATATATAATGAGTAAATTCACAATATACCAAATTTTGAAGTCAACAGTATACACATAAAAAAATAAAACATCCTTTTCTTTGAGTTGCAATTCAATATTAGTACTTTGTTTAACAAAAAAAAACAAAAAACAAATCACACCAAAATAATTTTGTATAAATACAATCATAAAATAAAAGGACAATACTCTCATTTTCCTCAATGTTAATGTCTTTACAAAACTTTGCAATTACCTGTTTTACAGGATAAATACGATGAACAATCTTGTATGATACTTCTCTCATTTGATTTGTAATACAAAAACGTCTGGAGATCTTAAAGGTTTCTTTCCAGTTGACATCTTGAAATTGTGATCTCCAAAAACCAATGGCTAAAGGAACACTGGAAATTTGGCAAATCGTTCTAAGATAATTATTATTACATTTTTGTTCTTTTATATTTATACCTTCCAGTTTAAGTCTGAAATCTAAATTTGGTTTTTCGACTATATCATTTCCTAATCAATTCCTAAGTTCCAAAGGAATGGCATTAATTACCATCATATAATCCTTAACAGGTATATAAAATGAAAATTTTTCTAAAAACTCTGAATATGTGAGCACATGACCATTACTACTATTCAAAAGTTGTGAAATCAACAAAATATTTTTTTTCTAAACCAATTAACTAAAAAAAAAGAGATTTATTTTGGTGTAATGTATTTATTATTCCAACTTAAGCATTTGTGAGGGGAAAAATTGTGTTTGTATATAATCATCCATGATAACAATGCCTGTTTGTGAAAATTGGAAAGTTTTATGGGAAGCTTGCTAATATTAAAGGTAGGGTATGTAATTTTTCAAAAACACTTTAGAAAACTGATTCGGGCCGAATAGCAAAACAAACTTGTAGCCAATCAGCAATAAGGGGCGTGTCTACTCATGATGTGGAGGAGAGCGCGTTCAGTGCATGGGACGGACATTAGCCGAGCCGAGCGACAGAAAGATAGAGATGGCGGATAAAAAACAAAAGAGGAAAACGTCTGCGGAACGATAAGGCAAAGAAGTAGGACCCGTGTAAATATTGGATCAGCTTTCCAGCGCTGGAGAGAACTCAAGGAGCGGAGGCCTGCGATCGGACGCCGAGGTTGCTTTGTTTCTTCTCAATAGGTGAGTAACACCGTGTCTACAACAGCTAAAGTCTGACTACACTGGACGCGATCAAGCGACCATTGAAAACCATTTGAAATGTGTGTCAGCACGTCATAAATAGAACCCGGCAGCAGTTTTCTGTCGGGATTTGTTGCGCCGCGCCACTCACGTCCGTAGACACGGTGTAACATTGGTTTTGCTTTGTTTCACAGAACTAATCGTTGCCTGGGTTGCGTACGTATATGTGGGGCGGAGCTATCAAAATAGGGGCAAGACCCTTTTGGGGTAGGGGGCGTGTTTGTTTTGGTGATTTCAAATATCAACATTGGCTACCAGAAATCGCTTACCCTGCCTTTAAAATTACAATCAAGAAGAAATTCAATACCACAGTGTTTATGCAATTGCATGCAACAATCCGGCAGCAATTGACAGCGCTCCATCGCATATGGGCATCGTCAGATTGACAGTACTCTAGCCCAATGATGGTGGGGGATCCAGTGGGGGCAGCAATCATATTTTAGGGTGTCCGTGCCACTCTTTATCACAACCCTGCTAAAATGTAGTGCTCCTGCTGGTCGCGCCCTAGGCGTCTGCCTAGTTTGCCTATGCCTAGAAACGGGCCTGTAACACTTTACAATAAGGTGTCATTTGTTTACATTAGTTCATGTATTAACTAACATGAACAAACATTAACAATACATTTATTACAATATCTATTCATCTTTGTTACTGTAAGTTGATAACAATACAGTTGTTCATTGTTTGTTCATGTTAGTTCACAGTGCATTAACTAATGTTAACAAAGGTAACTTTTGATTTTAATAATGCAGTAGTAAAAGTTCAAATTAATATTAACTAAGATTAACAAATGGTGTACGTCTCGTCCTGTCTGATGATCTGACCAGTGTGAAAGACAGCGGGAACAAACTGCTTCCCGGTAATCCAGAAAGATTTGACAAGTGTTTTGGGTTCAGAGGGTTTGGATGGGTTTGGATGTGGAGGTTAAAGAGAGTTGTTCCTGGAGTCTTGGAGTAACTACAGCATCAAACCAGAGGAAGGGATTCTTTTCCTTTACCAATTGTGTCTGGACTGTGCCGTATGGGCTAAATAAATGGGCTGGTTTCAGTGTTGAACAGGATCTTGAGTGTGTGAGAGTGAATCTGGACTGTGACAGAGGAACAGTGTCGTTCTCTGATCCTGTAACTAACACACATCTACACACATACACACTGAAACTGTCTTTCCGTTCTGGTGTTATAGATTTTCCTCGTAATCGTAGGTCTTAATCTTCCTGCTTTCATCATGTTTCCATTATTTAGTCCATGTAACATGAGTTGAGAAAGAGTGCTGTTGATCTGAATATCAGTACGGCTGTGTTTGGGTCATTGACACAAGGCCACAGCTGATCACATGACTGATATCCAGCACTACAGACACACTCATAGATATGTATACGTAGATTCCTCATTAGCGACTGTTTCTATGGGCCGCTATATTGGCCGTCCGCCATATTGGAAGGGTCAACTTGACGTCATTCAACATAATAATCAATGAATATTCGAAGATGCCACAATCCTTACATATCTATGGTTCCACCCCTCTCTCGCATTCTCACCTGTGAAAGGTTATCCCGTTTCTTCAGGAATTAAAATCACGGCGGTTTCTACAAACATCGGCTGGGCAGGATTGCGGCATCTTCGAATATTCATTTATTATTATGGTGAATGACGTCAAGTTGACCATTGCAAGATTGGCAGACTGCTTGCCTGCTACGTGCTTGGAGCTGTCGAATGAGGCATCTACCTATGGACACACTCACATTCTCATATTGCTTTCATATAACAGTTCAATGATTAACTTAATGATTTCAGATGCAATAAGGCCAGCTATTTTCTTTTTGTCCCAACTGAAGCCAAAGCAGGACTGTGCATTGAAAATTTAGTGAACATATTGACATCTCATATATCTCAGGTACCAATAGTTGCCTTTTATATATTTAATTGTTCCAAAAATAATGAACACTTGTAAACCAGAACTCCGTATCCACAAGCTGAGATGACAGCAGCAGTCTTCTTTAATTAATTCATCTGTGCAAATTAAGTATCAGAGCGTGATAAAAACCCACAAATGTTTCAGTCACACAGTCACATTCCTCAGTGAACTATTTTTCTTTAAAAATAGATTTCAACAATTATGTTTTGAAATGAAACCATAATGTTGCCATGGTGTTGCACTGTAGATCTCTTGTTAAAAATGTAATAGAAAATACTACAGTGTAGACTTACTGACATCTAGTGGTGAAATTGAAACCTTAATTACTATAACCTGACCGTAGAAATAATAAGAAAAAACCCGCCTAAAAATATTTGCACATCCCGTTTCTCAGGTAGAGGATTTTTTTTCATAATAGTAATGCATTTCAATAATTGTTAAGTTAAATAATGGATGTTAGTCAAGGGTCTAACTCTATCACTTCAAAATAAATATAAATATATGTATATTTTTACCCTACCAATGGAAGGGAAAAAATATTTTTCTAATCTTTTGCATTCTCTCGCAAAACCAGCTGAGTTCGGGCAAACACTTTCCTGTTTACTTTACAGCTTGCAGTGGTTCATACAGCTCAGTACGGTCACAATGGAGAGGTTCATAGTTTTATTTCGAACTTGGACTCAAGTATAAAGTGCACGGTTTTGGGACATTCTGACACGCTTAATGTGGCTTAATGTACTAAAACAGTGACAGTTGAGGACCAAATTCAGCATACTATTAACAGACAATCAGAATATTTGAGCCAGAATATGATCGTAACGCGCTAAATTGCACGCTCCCTCATAGAAAGAAAATGCTTAATTATTGGACTAAGACAGTGGTATAAAAATGCAGAATTCGATAATACAGGAAAGCAGATAAGCCCAGAATATGAACAGAAAGTGCTAATTTGCACGTTAAGCGTTTTCCTCCCATAGAAGCTGAAAGAAAACACTTAACGTTGCTTAATTGAAGACTGTGATAAAAAAGACCAAATATAGAGATTATTAAAGGACGCAAAAATGCAAATACTGCCCTAAGAAAATATTGATTTGATGAACTTTTTACTTGTACCGATATTTTAAATTAGCCTTTGAACTTAGCTTTATTGCATGGCAAAAAAAAAAAAAGAAAAAAACCTTACCTTGCTAATGGAT